ACCTCAATATTAATATGACGGGTATATTATCTGCTGTATAATGTACCTAGACGGATTAGCTAGGTAGGTCATAAAATCCATTCGACAAAACCGAGGCCGACCGAGGCGTAGGTATCATCAATACTCATCGTATAGGATTCATCTGTAGGTATTATGCTATACCTAAATACTATTATTATGTAATATACTGATAGAACACGATTTTAAGTATAAAAAATATGTATGTTTGTATGTTATTAGCATGTATTTTAGTGTCACAATATTAAATAACGTTCCGCTTGCTTATCGTTATATTCATATCAGGCCTAGCCAGCCGGCCCTTATGACTTATAAATTATAATACTATAGCTGTACTTATTATTATTATAAGCATGTATACGAGCAAGGATAACAAGTCATGGAATCAGTGTTACTGGGAAATTTGGACGTTTCCCAGATGGACTGTTTCATAAGTAACAAGCGATTTTCGATTTTTTCCTAATTATCGTTGAATTTATCAAACGATTGATTAATAAGTTTTTTGATAAACGCATATTCAGTGCTATATATACCGTACTATATTATATTTGAATAATCATATCCTAATCAATAAGATATTTAAATATTCAGGTACCTACACACATTTTTTTTTACACTTTGCATCCCACTTCTAATATTTTACCAATTCAAGCATTGGCGCGTATGGGCTAAAAAAAATATTACTATCTAGGTCCCTCTCAAATAGTTATTAAAACTTGAGTTACCTAAATAGTAAATATCTACTTATTTTAACTATGACTCCCGTCTCCTCTGCCGATTATGCGTGAGCACGCTTATGAACTCTGCGTCTCTGCTTACAGAAAGCATATATTATTTTTTAAGTAAAAAGTAAAACTAAAAGCAATTAAGTATATTAAAACTATTTTTGATTTTAGACCATTTCTGAATATGTATAAGTGGAAGCCGGAAAGTATTGATGATAATTATATTACATTAAAATACCTTGAAAATACCTAAAATACTCGATCAAAAACAAATTTCAAAAACGCTTTGATAAATTGTGAACATTATTGTTGTTGTAATCAATTATTAATCACTAATACAATTTATTTGGGTACTGGTTTAGTTGAAGCTCACCACTTATACATCTCTTATGGTTTCCATGTTCTAATTAATATGTTAATATATTTTCATTTATTGAGCATGGCAAGAATATTTACAGTCTGTAATAAATGTATACAATATGTAATATTTGGGTTGGGGCCGTTGGGGGTTACGAGTATACAAAGCTTGATGGTGTTAAAGGGGGGGGGTCGGGGTCCAATGACCCTACTTCATATTTCTAGGCTGTTTGAGTGTTGTAGCTTTTAAGTGTTGAGCAGGTCGGTCTCTGGGCCAATTACGCTTAAGGCGGCATGGAGTGTTGTCTGCAAGAAGTGTTAAGGAATTTATTCGAATTTACTGTTAATATTTTATGCAATTTTTATCCTGCAGATAAAAAAGGTACGAAATACATAGTTAAGTGCGTTAGGTATACGTGTGAAATTAACTTTTAATAGATATTTTAAGTACACCTTAATGTTTGATAAAATCATTATTGCAAAATTATTATTAATGATATAAGATAGGCTAAGTGTGTAATAACGATACCGAATAATTTATGCATATATGTATATATATATACATTACTATAGCCAAGCGTTATCTTAACCAGAATGGGTACGTTTGTTCGTTAGTTTACTTTCATTTTATGTGCATAATATTAAATTAGCCACTAAATATTAGTTTTCATAATACTGTAGTTTACCTAACAATTTTAATGTACAACTTTGTTCTAGTAAAAATTAAAATCAAGTTTTTCTTTGACGAATCAGATAATGAAAACAATATATTATATTTAACAACGGTCAGCGACCATGCGCCGATCTATTTGTACAGTTTTCCTAATCGGCCCCCGTAGATATAAAGAATTCGATACATGTAATAACGCATACCTATTATAAATGTGTATACAATATTATTATTAGTTATTACTATTATTACTATTTACGCTATTTATAATAATTGTATACCTTATAATAAGTTTATTTAAAAAAAAAACATTATTTGTTTTTGTAGACATGATTTTTGATTGTTGAATAAAAATTATAGAATAGGTAGTTTTCACCTATGGTATGGGTATCTCCCGATTCAATAGGATTTAACCAAGTGAATATAATAAAATTAAATTAGGAAGAATAACTATAAACATGCTCCAGTAGTCCCGTCGAATCAAACGATGTACATAATGGGTGATCAAAATAATAAATTATAATAAAATCTAATGGCACAGTGGCCAAATAATAAAGATAATAAATTTGAAAGCAACAAAGATACCTAAGTCATTGAGCATTGCTCAACATAGTACCATTGATTATAAATACTAGTGATTGATACTTATTATATTATAGATTATCAAGTATGTATTATTTGTAGGTCACACCATGTACACCGTTTTTATGTGAACACATTCGCCACCAAAACATATTCACCAACCCTCAGGGGTGAGGGGAGGCTATCTCCCCCCCTTGAGAACCAATGCTGCATACCTTTCAATGTTTTGAGTCAGGGCTTTCAGGACTGCAGCCAGGAAATTCAAAAATAGGTTAGGTAATTTTATAGTCTCGTCGACTCTGTCTCGTGTTCCTGTATTCTGTAATATAATGTGCAAGGTGCGTGATCATAAGTTGCTAGTATATATTATAAACCTACGTTTGATAATTCGTGCTTAAATCTATATTGCTTACAAACATTTTTGTTCCGAAATTAATCAATTTCACATTTTCACGTGACACTGACCAGTGGCCTTCCTATATCTAGGATTTTTATCTAGAGGGTGATATGACCAAAACTATTTTGCATATTAGGAGCCAGGGACACAGATTTCCCCCCCCCCCAGAGTAATCCATGGATTTTATAATTTTATAGCCAGTATTAACAATAATATATATCACCCCCAACTGTGACAGCCACGAGGCCGCAACTTTAAGTGGTAAAAAAATATCAAACGCAATGTTTGTTATTATATATTTTTGTTCTGTATATGACTCGTATAAAAAATGAGACTATCGTTTCTATTTTCAAGAAAAAATAAACCCACATCCTTATAAATGTGATATTGGCCCGGGGCATGGGCATTTCAAAATATCTTTGTACCACGAACTCAAAATTGTAATCACTATTCTGTCTATTTTTTCCCTGTAATTATAACAAATCACTATTTTTTATTTAGGTAATTCAAATGCGTGACATTCTAGATTGGACAAGGTTTATTGAACAAGTTTCGTGAGATATCTCAAAACGTTCAATAGTCGGTTGTTCGGTTTTTAGGCATTAAGACTTTTTTAGAGGATCAGACCGGCAAATTGTGTACTTATATGTATGATGTAGGTTTAGCTATATAGATATAGGTATGCAAAAATGTAAAGTACCTAGTAAACCAAAAAAATAAAACGATCGACGGTTGAGCTTGGTGCCTTGGTACGATGGATGATGGAGGGTTGAGGGGTAAGCGTCGCCGCGACGGTTAATTTTTTTTTTCAAATATTAAAATAGGGAACTATACAAAAAATATAACTATGACGACGAGGGTTTATCAAAAAGACCGTTACGCGTTTTACACCGGTGTGCCAGACGCCGGGCCCGGTGTGTGGCGGCAAACACAATATTACAGTGTGACCACTATGGCGAGCATATACCTGGGCGACGTCGCACTGATGGTTCCCTGACGGGAACCGGCAAACGGTTGCCGCCGAAACGACCAAAATTCAAAATCTTGGTTAAACATAGTCCCATCCACGATTATCAAATTTTATTATATTCGATGTCATCATGAATACAGTTTATATTCTAGTATTTTAAAAAGTCAACTGACAAGAAATGTATACAAATTAAGGCTTACTTTCGACTTAGAGCACAAGGATAAAGTTCCCGCCATTTTCAAAAGATACCTAAAATGTGTATTGCAGAGCATAGATGTTTGCATCTATGGTCTGCAACTCGCGAGTTTTTCTTTGATGTGTGTACTGTTAATCCACATTTTGAACACACAAATAATGTTGTTTTGCTTCAAGATTATATTTTTCAAATTGATTATGATATAATTTTTTGGCGTTTCGTGACTTCGTCGACTATAAACATTTTTAATGGAGCAATAATTGCTTACAGAAGCAGACAATTTTTATGAATATATTTATATTAGTATGGTAAAATAGGTATTATCGTAGTTTGGGATGTACAACATTTGGTTGTACAGTTTGTCAAAAATAAAATAAATATATTATATTGACAAAAGGAATGAAACGAAAATATTCTAAAATAAGCAATTATCCAATATTCCAACATAAAACGATCAAGATACTTATGAGTTAAAGCAGTAGAAGAATTGATCGTGGGCGAGTTGCAGAAGCCAAGAATAAATGTTAATGCACACATTTTACATTTGTAGTAAAATTGTTTGCTTGATTGTTTAATATTTATTTATTCTATTATTCTATAACATACAAGTATTATAGTTGTTCTCTATAATAGTTTATAATGATTGTGTTCTTAACTCTTAATAATATGTATAATGCAAATCGACGGAATTCCTTATCAATAAAATGTATCCATAATCGTTGTCCCGAGCCGAGACGGACATTCAGCCAACATACCTCTGAAAAGGACATAGGTCTTCAATCTCTTTATATAATCTTTAAACTTTATAGCCTTATAGGCATTATTTAGGTTTAGCCGGTTTAGCCCCCAACGATCGGCCGTGAAAAAAAAAAATTAAGAACGCGAAACGAAACGGTCGCCGCATTGCCGGACTGTGGGCGTCCGTGGAGCACCGCATCCCGACGGCCGGTCGCACATGGCAACGTCGCGATTACCGTTTTGCCGCCCCGCACCCCGACAGCCAGCCTACGAGCGCGCGCGCGGCGGCGGCGGCGTCGTCGTCGCCGCCGCCGCCGTTGTCTATACGCTATCGTTCGGCCGCCACCACCTCACCCACCTCACACTCTTCACGCACACACACAGACACTAACACGACTCACCGCCGCCGTTCATTTCGTATATCCGCTCGTCTGTACTTGGTTTTCGTACGCCGAAATTTTCGCGGTCCGCCACTAGTGAATTAACCGTCGAACAACTGCCGGCCAAACGTCTGACACAATTGTTTTATAATCTTTTTTACGTTTTTCACGCAGTTCCGCGAGGCAACTGAAAACCGACCGACGCCGATACAATCATCATGTCCGACGTGTCCAAAGAAACGCTGAAGAAAGAGATCGCCGGTAATTATTGTGCACCAACATTTCTTAATCTGTTCTATGCTTTGCAACGGTTTTTCGCAATTGTTAGTCCTTTAGTTTTTCGTAAGCTCAACTCGCGTCGGTTTCCGTTTGAAACCGCGCGCTCGTGTGGCGGTGTCCGCGATGGTTGACGGCGGCACCGTTTGAATCGTCAATCTCTATGTGTTTTTGTTCAGATGCATTTTTTTGTAACCGGCCGCCGATCACATCCTTTTTTCTGTTAGTTAGCAACGATTTTATTGTCAATCCCGAACGCGGTGCGCCGCCGGCCCGCGTCCGGACGACGTCCTAATGGCGTCGCCGGTGTTTTAGATTTTCAGGCCTCCCGGCCGTTGGCTTGACCGTTTGGACGGCCGTTTTGTGCTAATCCGTTTTTTACAGCCGATTAAAGTCTTGTCATTTTCCGCGCGGGGGACGAATTATTGTTAAAAATGACGTCTGATGTACTTCCAGTGTCCGCTAGATGGCGCTCCGCCCGGCCGTGGTGTAAACAAAAGCGGCGTCCTAAAAAATAAACCGGCGGCGACGCTACCGTTCCTATTCCACGGTCGAATATCGTAATGATATTCGCTTCCACGACTACGGCGCCGCCGTTTTCGTCTTTCGGTTACTCTTGTGATTTTTATCACCGAATTTGCCAATGTTCATTAAAAATTATGTCCTATTCATAATTCATATTCATTTCACTGTCTATTAAAAATATTATTACTACAAAAACGCTGCGATTTTAAATTTTAGTTTGCAATTTATTGTAATTTTTGTATATGCTATAGGTCCCCATCGAGTTGGATTTCTTTTCAATTTATTACTTAAAAGGTATCTATTTGATTATTATAATTTTATTTTTTTTTTCGATATTAGGAAATGTTAAATGTATCCAACCTATGAAAAGTTACTCAATATACTTGTATTATGTAAATCATGAGTATTAGTTTCAAATTCTATTGATTTTATAATATGGTTGGTTGATAAATTAATCATACCATCATACTTATATTGTTATTATTAACTAGGCATCCAAATTTAGTAATTCTAAGTTGTGACTATTAATCATTTCAGTGCTCATAATATACTTTGTCTCTGTTTTAATTTTGAAATTATTTTTATTTTTAGCTCTCCTAAAAGCAGCAGATTTGACAAAAACCTCTGCTAAAAAAATTAGACAGGAACTTGAAAAAAAATTGGACACAGATCTTGATGATCGGTAATATTTTTACTTTTCATTATTAATTAAACTTTTTTACTTATAATTATATGGTATTTATTGTATAGGAAAAAAGAAATTGACACATTAGTAATGGAAGCTATTAAAAAAGCTAAAGCCACCAAAAAGAATGGTAAAGGTGATAGCGATGATGAAAATGATGATGATGATGATGACGCAGAGAATGATGATGATGATGAAGAAGAAGAGGAAGAAGTGAAACCAGTCAAAAAGGCAGCGGCTCCTAAGCGTAAGAAGGCTGATAGCAGTGATGAAAGTGCTGGTTCTGACGATGTAAGTAGTAATTCATCACAATGAATAGTTTTAGTTACTTTAAATAATTCCAACAAATTTAATTTCATGTAGGATGATGGTGACAAAAATGACGGTGACTATAGTCCTAAAAAAGGAACTCCATCTAAAAAGAAGACCCCTGTGGCTAAACGGGGACGCAAGAAGAAAGATGACAGTGATAGTGATGAAGACTGGAAAGGAGCCAAAAAAGGAGCAAAGAAAACTGGGGTACAAATTTAACTAATTAATTAAGAAATTATAAATGTTGTTTTTATTAAATAACAATTAAACTTTTCCAGGCAAAACGAGGAGGTAATAGTGGTTACACTAAATCAGTAGCACTTAGTCCTGAACTTGCTTCTCTCATGGGATCTGAAGCTTTACCACGCCACGAAGTTGTTAAAAAAATGTGGGCAATCATTAAAGAGAGAAATCTTTATGTAAGTTTGTCAATAATTCTAAAATTATTATCAAAATTGTATTCTTAATATGCATTTGTATTTTTAGGATCCATCTAACAAACAATACGCTATTTGCGATGATGATTTGATGAAAGTTATTGGAGTTAAACGTTTCAGAACTTTTGGTATGATGAAGTTCTTAAAAAATCATTTTATATCATAACTGTTTTACGTACTAGAAAAAAATGTTTACTGATATATCCTACTCCCTCCCCTCCCCCAATATCTTCATTTTTCTTAAAATTGTGTTTACCCTTTGTGTTTCTTCAATAATTGTGGAAGTTCATGGTAATTTTTTTTTTTATCAATGAGAAACTGTTTCTCAAGTATTATAATTTTTCATTCCTAAAAAAAAAAATTTTAATTAAAATGGTGGGCATGCAATTTAAGTTGATGTCATTTTTGAGTGAAATATATTTTTTTTTAAACTTTTTTTCATACTTTGCACACTTGCTAGGTATAAATATCTAGCTATAAATGTTTGAATGTATAAACGTATTTGTAAACAATTATAACAAGCATTTTTGTGTTTTTAGAATACTTTTACAATAATTTTAAGACATTAATCTACATCATAATTTTTATTATAATTAATTTATAATTGAATAATAATAATTTAATGCCTATGATGTTGTTTCAGTCTTTCATTTTTGTTAGACAATTGTTAGTGGACCTTATTGTAGTTAAGCACCCTAAACTGTTAACATCATCATACTCTACAGCTGCATAAAACTTGTTTTTGAACCGTACGGAAGTATGAGAAACTGACTGATTTGTGTTGGTGGCTTTTTCACTCATAGTGTTACTGCCAACATCACATAATTTAGTTTGTACTTGAACTGATTTGTAGACATCTATAGTTTGTGCACTTTGAGTTGCTACTTTTGATGTTTTATTGATAGAGTCAATTACTTTCTTTTTCTTACATTTTTTTATTTCCTTTATAATATGAATGTTTTTGTTTATTGCACTTATGTCGTGTGGATAAATTGCTGTTTGCACTTGTGCATCCTTGTACTTATTCTTTTCACCCATTCTATACAAATATAGATTATAAATTTGCATTCTATGAAGGTTACGCAATGTGCTACTTACAGTTCATTGGAATTGTGTTGCATTTCTGTCATTTGTTCGTATAAGTGGAAAATTGATAATAAATGTGGTTTAGACCTCATTAAATTTAAAAAGCGGTTCAAATAGCTGTGAAAATGTTATGTCTATATTAAATATGTAATCTATAATGTAATAAATATTGATATAATTATATATAACTGCCGTTATGGTTTTGAGAATCTCAAAAAGTTTAAATACTTTTAACCATGTTTACAATGGTTGTAAAGAAATTTTAGAACAAGTTTTTTTTTATATCTAGTAGGTATCAATTTAACAAACTACCATTTTATTTTTTTAACCTGTAAAAATTGTTGCAACTTACTATGTTGGTTTAGTACCAAAATGCAGTGCTGCTTGAATACTTGCAAAGCCAAACCATTCATCAGAATACTGTATTACACCTATGCTTTTGTCATGTTGTATTAATATTCCATCGGTTTCAACTATCATAACCACACAATATCCATCTGCCTAAATAAATAATTTTGATCACTATGGTATAATTTTGAATACAATACTAAACATTTACAAATAAGTGCTTATTATTTGCGCTGGTAGGTGGATGCCATTCACACATGGGATGTAATGGATATGTTTCAATAATTGTAAGCAGTTCTTCACTGTCAATTAGAATCGTGTCCATGATTGACGTATTATCTATATCCTCGCTAATATTTATTACCTAAAAATAACATGTTAAGGCAATATTTTTTTTTTATGTTTCACTATAGTAAAAATTACTTCATTTGTCAACTGTTTCATGGATGATATTAAACTACATGTAATGCTCAGATGATTCATAATCCCTCTAATTTCACTCCAAATAACTGTTGCATTGTTGAGCTCTGGCTGTAAATAACATAATATTAACGGCATTTATTTATGTAAAGAAAATTAAAATATTACTAAAGTTGCACATCAATCACAAAAATTAAATCAGAAACTATTACTTACATAGATTGTATCCTGGCCAAAGTCATTAGTATTTTGTAGTTTTTTTATTTCTTTAAATGTTCTGTTGAATTTAATGAGTAATGTGGGTAATTCAATTTTTAATTTACTTAAATCTTCTTTGATTATTCTAAAAATGAAATTATATTAATATTTAAATATTAAATTTGGATAATAATACTTGCGTTGACTTACTCTAGATTTTTCTTATACTGTAGATAAAATACCAGTACAGTTTTATAATCGTTCAGTTTTTTTATTGTAACAGTTGCAAAATTTATCCGTATAACAAATATTGGAGCTAAAATGTCAGTGTACACTTTATAGCATTGAAGTATCCACGAAGTCGTCATCATCACTTTCTTAATACTATCTCTTAACTCGTGTTCAATATTTTGTAGAAGCAACTCAACAGCATTAGGAAGTGTATCTATCACTAAAAAATTCGAAGGTAAGTATTAGTAGATAGTACTATGATAAATATGGAACATTGAAATCTTTGGTGTTCTTTTCGAGTACGAGAAGCTGGAAATATAATTGTATATATATTTTATTACTAACTAAAAATTACACTCGGTGACATAGGCCTGGGGGTTGGGAAATATATTGTTTTAATAGTGATGTGTTTTTCTCTGGAGCATAAAAATTGGTTCAACGTGGTTTCTGATATCATTTTAGATCTAGTTGCTACGGAAACGGATTTCTGCAGGTTTATGTATTTTAAGTTTAAACATCAGTTTTGACAAAATCAATTTTTTTTTCTAATTTCGAAAGAAATAATCGTGAAATCGAAAATTTACTAAATTAACGTATTTGTTGGACATAATATAATATAATTTTCAAAATATTTAGGCTATTTTAAGCTATTTATATACATTTAACATTTTTCAAATTATATAACCTAATAAATGTTTTGTTAATTTCGGTCAAAAATTAAAAAATTTAGGTAATACCTTTGAGTCACGAGGTTCCCCTCACTCTGTTTAAGCTTAATTAAGCCTATACTACTATAGTATCCAACCATAGCTGATATAACACAAAATAGATTGGAATTGATAAATAATTAATATATGGTAAAACATTAATTAATTAAATACTTACCGGCTACATGGATACCTATATCTACTTATAAGTTATATAATATGTTGTACAAAATATTCCTAGAAATATAAGTTTTATCGTTGTTTGTATACTGCTACGACTTATTGGGTATTATACCTATCTATGATTAAATTCAAATTCAGGACATTCTTTGTGGTCTACAGTCTATAGTGATTAGTAGGTAAAGTGGCGTTAATTGGATGGTGCAAATGTAGCACTTACACCACCAGAAAATCATACAAATTTGTATACCTATAATTTTAATTTTCAAAAGTGTATTCTTATTTGTTAAACAAGTAGATATCTATAAAATTATAATTTTAATCGTCAAGCATTTATCGTTTTTTTATTCTAGGTACCTAATTGTTAGTATTGTACTAATGTAAATTGTATATATATGTATCTCTCATCGCATGTACTTATTGTGCCTCATAGGTACAGATTGTATATTTCCAATAAAGTAAAAAAAAGGTGGGCAAGTGGATGTCGCTCTGCTGTACAGTAGGTTACAAGTGGGTCACTGTATAATGGATGGTATTAAATTTGAATTCAATGATATAATATCATTGTATAAGAAAAACGATTCTGAGCGGAGGCGGTATGTCAGTCTAGGTATATGAACATAAATATTTTTAAAAAAAATTGACTTATATAATAAATTCCAAATTAATCATATCAGAACATTCAATATCCACTAGGCATTTGGTAGTTAAATGCGTTATACATCAACAACAAACCGTATTTTGTAGATTTTTTGGTTACAGTATGAACTATTTATGAGAATCTTTGTTTTAAATTTTCAATCCTTAGTTATAAAAACTGAACATTTTATAATTTTTAATTACAGTGATTAATAATTTTCGAGATTTTGATAAATTTTGTCAAAATTCGAATTTTAAATGCTTATTAAAAAAAATTGTGCCTATGTATTTTAAATATTTTACAATTGCTATTGTAAAAATATATCAGGAGCCTTGTATTAAATTTTCAAGCTTTTTCGCCCAATAAATAAAATTTTATTGGTATTTATAGAAAAAAAAACTAAGAAAATTGAAAATTGACAATGTCCGTAAACATCTCAAAAAGAGTCAAATTATTTTCAAAATTTTATCGTGTTTAGAAAATGCTAATATCAACATTCAGTGAAATTTTCAAGTGTCTACAGCCATTCGTTTTTTGCGTAAAAATTCCCGTTTTTCCTTAATTTTTCTTTTGTTTTTCACGTCGCTTTTGAAAACTACTGGGAAATGTTTACTTTTGACCCCCCAAAGTACCAACTAGATTCACTTTCCTATCAGAAAAGTTGCTGTTGAAGAAAATCGAAGCAGTTTTACTGCCCTTAAAGGTGATGACAGACACAAAAAAAAAAAAATAAAAAAAAAAACACACATCATTGTAAAATCAATACATTCATCGCTTCGCTCAGAATCTAAAAAAAAAAAAGGTACCTAATTAATTACTAGGTACAATTAAGACATTAGGTAAACAGTTTTCCAGCGGGAATTTCCAAAGGAAGTCAGAGTATTGGTGGGTTCAAAATTAAAATAATTTTCGGCACCACCAGACATTGAGGTCAGTTTACACCTCTGCTTTGTGGAAACACGATGCGTGGTAGGTCCGCGTTTCACGCAGACGACTATTATACGCGACGTACCGTTCTCGTGCGTTTTTAGTTGACATTAATTAAGTTCGTACGCCTATGAATTTAACCAATGAAAATGCGCTCTTACGTACAATCGAAGGAGTCAAAACCTGAATACCTGGTATTGTTCTGTGGACTGTGATACAGCAGAGCAAGTAACTAGAATTTTTTTTTAATGAGATTTAGGTACTTACTATCCAAAGTTTCTTCTCTTTTATCCTTACGATCCATGTTGTAAAGCCAAATGCCACATACCAAGTTTGATATTTCTTTCAATTGGTTTATTTTTAAAGATGGTAATTGGTTTTCAAATTCTGATGATTTTGTTCGATTTAAAACGTTATGTAATGCATCTGAAAGAATGAAAGGTACTAATATTGGTTTAAAATTTTAAATATCAAATACTTAAAGATTATATTCTAATATTAATATTTTACAAGTTGAAATAAGTATTTTTTGTTCTTAGAGATTTTTTTTATTGGTTAATGGTCATACACCTACTCGTATAAATGTATAATAATTAATAAGGAAGCATAGGTGTATAATTAGATTGTGGATTGTCCCGCAGAAATCGGAACGAAGATTGCAAAACTTGCAGTCTTATACTAGTTAGGTATTATCTAGGACCCCCTCCCCTCCAAAAATTTGCTTAATGCCAATACAAACTTCACTAATATAAATATTAAAAATATTAAACACTATACAAGTACAAATTATAAATACTTATACAAATATGATATACCTAATTAAATAATACAAGTAAAACAAAACGTAACTTATACTTTTTATCTGGTAATATAATATATGTAGTATAATAACAACCTTTCTGCTTTCTCTAAATTATTACGAAAACCTCCGACTCTATATATTAAAATGTCTATTGATGCGCTTGAGCTACTCATGTGAAGAGCTTCAATAAAAACGCGAATGATGATAGTCAATAGATTATATTTCGGGTAAAACCAAAGAACCTATTTTCCAATCTATTATATTTGTCTTATTTATGTGTAACAAAAACAAAAATATATATATGTAGTGATTCAGGTGGGAAATGTTTCTGTCCCGAGGGGGGGAACGTCCAGTACCGCTAAAATTGATGAAAGGGGAAGGCACGGAGAGGAAAACCTCTAAATACCAATTTAAGGGGGTTGGAGAATATCATATATGAGTAAATTTAGGCTGTTCATATTACACGTACATTTGAACTGTGTCGTCATGTAAGTAGTAAATTAACATTAGTGTGAAGTGAATATTTATACTATATAAAAAATGCTTTATCGACCTGCAAGATAATGACTGCATTATGTATTTGATCGTCTAAAATTTCAAGAACAGTCTCACACACGCAAGCAAAGCTCATAAAATTTAGTTTTTGAATTTTTTCTCTTTTTAAATCAATGACATCACAGCTGAAAGAAAAATATTTATTTTGTAACTTCCCGTGACGGAATTTAAATGTTGAAAACATTTTTAAAATGTCTTAGAATTTTATGGATGTGTACAAATTAAAAACACTTTCACGGTTTTTGAAAAAGTTACATTTTCTGTAGCCTAATTGAATGCAAAAATTAAAAATGTATTTTCTGCATAATGTCGGTGCTACAGATGTTTGCACCCCGAGGAAAATAATATCTTTGCCTCTTCCTCTTCCAATAATCAATTACAAATTTGTTGAGGCGGCCAATTTTATAACAGGATCCCTGGTCGCCCACCCATAACGCCAGTCCTGTTCCTTTATAACCTAGAAAGGGATGATGAATTCATACGTATGCTCAAAACAACAATCGGACATGGGCAGGTACTTAACCCTAATCTACCACTTATTAGTTCAAAACCACAACAAATAAGGCTTGTGCTCCAATCATAGACCTTATAATAATATAATACCAATAAATATTTTTCCTCCTATAAAATTAGAAGGACCGCTTACAAGAGGCTACATTAGGTAGGTAAGTACTAGGTATCCATGTGGCCTATGTATTATTACCTATGTATTATTACCTAGGTACTATACCTACTATGTATAATTATATTTTATATTGTGGCCTGTGATCAATTACTTACCCTATGAACCGGATGATATACTTACTATTTACTAACCAGAAATTTCCTGAATGAGTATTGGTGAAGTCGGGTCTCCCATATAGTTGGATAAAATTATGTACTGTATTATTTTTTGATAGTAAGTGCTCATTGTGTTGCCAGTGTCATCCACGTTATCTAAAATGTCGTTTAACAATGGTCTAATTTTTTGATCATTTTCTTCATTAACTTTATTTATAATAAATTCTGTGAATTCAATGTTGTTTAAAGTTTAGATAAGTATTATAGGTATATGGAGGTAATTATACAGTTAATTGTACAGGTACCTCTGTTTTTATAGTCGTGTTCTATGAGTAATTGCATTTTAATGCATAATATAGATGGGTCCTTTTGAACAGACAAACGCTGAATACATTGGTCTATAATTTTGTCCATTATATTCTTTAATGGCTGTTTTTGTAAATTCTTCACGTTGGGACTCAACAGCCAGCATTTAAACTACATTATAATTATTAGAAACAATATAAAAGTGTAATAGGCGGGTAGGTATTTAAATTTGACTTATAAATTGAAATAAGTGGACTGGTAGGTACCTATATAGACACATAACTCTAGGCGATAATGATATAGGAAACTTAATTTGCTCCGATCGTTGTTTATAATAAATAATAACTGTATATTTGTATAAAATAAATAAGCGTGCACAGAGGGCAGTCAAGATGGTCTGTTGACTACTCTGTGAAGACGTGTAACTTTTTTTTTAGGTGTACCCTAGGTACTCGATTATAATATATTTAAATAATAATATTTAGACAAAACAATTTAGCCATATAGGTATTAGGTACGTAAAATAAAAATAAAGCGTTCGGTACCTATGTGGCTATGTTTTATACCGGTATTAAATATTAATCGTTCATTTAAAAATATCATTCCAGTTATAACAAATAGTTGTAGTAATGTGTCTTATTCTAATCTAATAATATTAATCGTATTATATCCTTGCTCCTTAGTATGGAAGGTAGGTACCTACCAATCTAGTGACAAGTTGTGTTTGATAGGGATATTTGAAAAATAGTTGATTCTAGAAAGTGGTAAAAAAAAATTTTCCCCCACCTAAATAGTTGGCTTATTATTAATATTTATATTATTATTTTTCATGACTATAAAGTATAAGCAAATAAAAATAATGAAATAGGGTACCTAACTAATAACTAGTTAGGTAACTACACAGGTCAGGTACCTATTGTATTTGTTCATAATTTAATCCTACTCGAATGAGTTAAATTTAGATAGTTATAGATACGAATAAAAATTATTTGTTCGTCAATTATTTAGTTTTTAAACAATGGTTGCTAATATAAATATTTGTTATTTAATAATTATTGTTGCAAATTGATGTTAAAAAACATTTTAAAAATGTTTAGACAAATAAGATATAACTATAACCCAGTATTAAAAAATAACACCCGTGCGGAAGTGCATCTGTCATTTATTCAGGTACTATGTATGCTATTTGCTTAGTATACATAATATTTATCAGATCGTCAGAGCTACACAACCGTTTTGATCGCCCATTAACGAACATCGATGAAATGACACTTATTGTAAACGTTAGATTAAAATACGAATGTTTAATGATTCAATTATTATTTAATTGCTGATTACAGAGAACACTTACAAATACTGATGCCAGTTCTTCGGAGACTTGCACCCCTAGTTCGAGGCATCCTTGGATCACTTTCCGAATATATTTTTCTTCTGGCAACATAATATACGTTAAATTGTGATGATTGTGTTGCCGAACACGCGCCCGCACACACCGCAATAATACAACACAGGTGATTGAAATTTCAAATGTTATATTATTATTTCCATAGCAACACGATTACCACAAAGAACATAAACAAAAAACAAAAAAAAAACATAACCGATATACGCAACACAAATCAATAGAAAATGACATACTTAGTTCTCTTTCGTTATTGTTAAGAACAAAGTAGGTAAGTAACTCATATTCACTTTTTTCCCTTAGCAAATTAAAAATATGACGGAAACTGCAGACTAAGCACTGTGGTGATCGGACCAATACCTATCGAAAAATGGTGAGTTATAATATTATTTTTATAGTCAACAATTTGGTGTCGTTATTAAAATGTATTTAGTATAATAAATACTATTTATAGTATATATATTATATTTTAATATATTTATATAAATAGTAAGCTATAAACTATAAAGGAATCTAATATGCATATAAATATATAAACACTACCTATACTTTAATACATTGTCTATACATTGTGGCACCGTGAACATGTTAATTTAAAATAATGCACACCAAAAATGGCGTTAAAAAAAATTTCATCATATCGGTTGGGTAAAAGAAGTCACCTCGCATTTAATATATATATATATAATATATTGTATGATAGGTAAAGATATTTATTTAAAATAATGTGTCGTAGTCTTAAATTTGACATTATCCACTAGCACCTAAATTATATATTGTACAGTTAGTGTAAAATTCATTGACTTTAAGTAGGCCTATTTAACAATAAATAAGTAGAAAAACGATTATATAGGTACTTTTTAGATACAATACGTTACAACGATCAGGTTTTAATGTGTTTATTAAATAAACAGAGTTTAACAGAATATCCTGTCCAATATAATATGTATTGTACACCAGGTGATCCATTTAACGTAGGACGCTTATTATTCCAATAACAGCTATTAACGTTATTGAAAATAATTCTTTTTTTACACAGTTATTTTAAGTCATTAAAAAACAAAATGTTTCTGAATAAAACCAATTATTTACTATTTATTAAAGTTGTTATTTTTAAAAATGTTTACTTTTTTGAACGATAACATGCATTTTAATTCCTCATTCCAAAGCACAGTATCGCACTTTTCCGCTCGAAGATACCTACTTTAAATACGGGCGATAATGTATTATGGCATATCATATTATACTTTATTATAACTTATAATTATTAATAATAGCTACTTGTCCGAAACACTTCTGCGAATATTTTGACTCGAAAAACATAAAAACAGTAAAAAATATTTTTTTTTCAAAACTGTTGACTTTTAAAGAATTCGAATTATGCGAGAAAAATATTTTCAAAAACGTTAGTGTTTTTTTTTTTTGGAATAAAGAGTGTCTCATGTTAAATTTAACGTAGTATTTATATTACATGAATGGTGTTGGACGCATGATTATGGGCGTTGTGATTTCATTGTTGTCGATTATTAATTATTATTTATCAGTCTATATTTTAGTACGTAATACACGTGTAACAATATCGTCAATATTATCGAACGACAAAATGATGCAGGGGTTGTTGTCGATGCTGAAGCGGTTGCGTTCGTCGCCGGACAAGGAGCTTCGCATCCTGCTGCTGGGCCTGGACAACGCTGGAAAGACGACGCTGATGAAGAAACTCGCGTCGGAGGACGTGTCGCACATAACGCCCACACAGGGTTTCAACATTAAGTCCGTGCAGGCGGATGGCATGAAACTGAATGTGTGGGACATTGGCGGGCAGCGCAAGATAAGACCGTATTGGCGCAACTATTTCGAATTCACTGACATACTAGTGAGTGCCGATACCAATAAAATACTACATTATCGAGAGTAGCAGGTCACCTTAGCCACCGCATAAGTGTTCAGTTGGCGAGAACTGTTTGTTGAAACTTGTGTCTCCGCGAAATTCGGTGGGTGGGTCCCTTGTGGTCGGAATTGTAGATCAGTGAGTTTGAAGTAATAAACTATAATGAGTAAACCTTATATAACTAATACAAATGCAATACATTTAACTTAGGTATCGTACAGCCAATACAAATGTAGGTTATAGTATATAACTATACTTACTAAGGACATTTAGTCGTAACAAATCTAACAAATAGACAATATTGACTTACGGGTTATATTATGAATCTAAGATATATCCTATTTGACTGCCTGGTAGGTATCTACCTGTATCAATATTGCATTTACTTAAGCATATTTCGTCTAAAGTTGGCACATTCTACAGCTTAGCATTTTTGGGACCATTATAATGTTGATATTTTCATTGTATGTTCAGGTATTGTGCAATTTCTGTAGTCTGAATATGAACGATTGAATGCAACGGAGTATTAAAACTAGTAACAAAAAATAATTATTGTATTTTACTCTACTACAGTCGTGCTTTTTGATCTTTTTTTTACGACTACACTTCAATTCAGATCCATAAAAATAGCGACTTAAAAATAATTAAAGATTTTTTTAAAAAGCAACACTTTTAAACTTAAATGTAAATAGTCAATTCAGAATGTTACTTCACAATTGTTTTTTCTTAATTGTGGTTTTGACTATCACGTTATAACTTCATAATAGAATCATATATTTATACTTTGAACACTTACAATATCTTTTTCTACTAAAGACTTGCCTTGTCGTTGCTTAATTTTTGCGACCATCAATGAAGTGGTTTCCCGTCGCCTTGTACATCGCAGTGATAAATCTTATTTTTTAAGGGGTATTATTCAATTATAAATAAATCTAAACTTGATACAAACAATGCTGTTGCCCGTTGTTTGGTCCATTTTGGTCGCTTCTGATGACAGGAGGTGTATTCTAGTCCTCACGGCCCCACCCACAGAACAATGCGTACAACATAAATAAACATTTTTTTTTGGTGACACGCCGATTGAGAACCACTACTCTTCTAGCGATAATCACCAACTGGGTAAAAGCAACTATGGTATTGTGCAAACGGTTCACCCCCATGTGGCAATACCATAAGAAGAATAGAAATTTTTAAAATAATTGTTGTAATGATCTATAAGTTATTCAAAAATATTCTGTTACTTGAATACAATAGAATTTGAATAATAAATTCAGTTTGATTTAGTAAACAAAATGTTTTACGTGTCCTAGGGTATACTGTTCTGTACTTATGGGTATACTATAAATAACTGTCCAAAATCATTTTCGTGAGCATTTAAAAATGGAGTACTGAAAAATCATTTATTTTTAATAAATACCTATACAATCATTGGGTAAAATATAGATGACCGTATTACACCATCTGTCCATTTAATATACGGAATTGGGACAATAACAGTTATTGTCGAGTTTATTAATGGTTTTAAACAGTATTTTTTTTTTTTTTTTTTTTTTTTTTATTTATCATTCAAACAAAATTACAAAAACATATAACAAATTCGATTAACCTCTCTCCTTTAAGCTAGGCTTGTGATGAAGAGAGGGAGTTATTGTAGTTATAAAATTTAATAATATATAATATAATATAACAAAACGTATACTAATATGATATGTTAATATAATAGACTATGAAATAAAGTAATATAATGAGAATAATGAGAATATATAATATGATCTACAAAAGAAAAGAAAAATACATACATAAACACTCAACAATTATAAAAGCATAATACATAGTAAATAAATTTAATAAAGTTATAACATTTCAAAGTTTTATAAACAAAGAAAAATGAAAATACTTTACATACATAACGCGTTCTTCTCTAATTCCAAAAATAAAAACTTGTATACCACATATTTAATATTAATAGTATCACCCATTATCACATTTTTTTTAAATTCATACGGCATAGAATTAAAAATTGTCGGTCCCAGATAGTCTACAAAAGACTGTCCAAAAGATTTATTGGTGTATATAACAGGAAAGTCATAATTTCTAAATTCTCTTTTTTTATCTAATTTATTGTAGTGATTATCTCGTCTAACATGTTTCAATAAATGCATTATTACTATTTTTTTGTAAAGGTACCTTACCGGTAAAACACCAAATTCCATGTAATTTGCTTTTGTAGATCCCGTAACAGTACATTTATTTAGACAAATTCTGATTATATTATTTTGATTAATTGTTAATGCATTTAGTATGTTATCTTTAAGGCCACCCCATACTAATATACCATATTGGAAATTAGACTGATACAGTGCATAGTAAATTGTTCTTAATGTTTGTTTCGGCACCATACATTTAATTTTTACTAGCTTGTAAGTTATAAAACGTAGTTTACCTAATAAGTTGTTGATGTGTAAATTCCATCTCAAGTTCTTATCGAATATAATACCCAAGTATCGAATTTTTTCCACTTTTTTAATAGATTTACAATTTTGCGAGTCACAGATTTTGTTTATATCACAGTCATGAATTGTAATATTATTGTAATTAATATCATTTTTTATAATTGAGAACTGCATGAAAACAGTTTTTTCAACATTTAAGATAAGATTTCTATCTTTTAATCTGTTACTTATCTGTCTGAAACCTTGGTGAGCTTTTTCATACACACCATCCCAGGTCTTATGAGAAAAAAGCAGACATGTATCGTCAGCATAAGTGATTATAGATCCATCAATATTGACTTCACATATATCATTTATATATATAATAAAGAGTATTGGACCCAAAACACTGCCTTGTGGTACACCAGATTTAATTACACATGTATTACCATTAACTTCATTTATTTTAACTAATTGTTTCCTATTATGCAAATAACTTTTAAACCAGTTTAAACTTGAACATTTTATTCCAAAGCTGGGTAGTATATTCAATAGAATGTCATGGTTGACTGTGTCAAATGCCTTAGCTAAGTCTAAGAAAATTGCCATCGTTTTGTTATTGTTATCTAAATTACCATAAATGTACTGAGTGACTTGATATAGTGCATTATCCGTACTTAATCCCGGTCTAAAGCCGTATTGATTTTTTGACAACAAACTATTTTTTTCTAGAAAATCAATTAATCTAATTTTTATAATTTTCTCGAATATTTTGGAAAAGTTACTTAGCATGGATATCGGTCTATAGTTATTCATAGACGCTTTATCTCCGCTTTTAAATAAAGGTTTAACAACAGCCAATTTTAGGTTATCAGGAAAAATGCTTTGTTCAATACTTAAATTGTAAATGTAAACTAGAGGATCAATTATATTTTTACTTATAGTTTTTAAAATTTTTACTGTAACTCTGTCCGAACCCGCTGCAGTATCTTCTTTGAAATTATTGATTATCTCTAGAATAATTGACGGCTCGATTTTTTTAAGAAAAACATCATCAAATGAGATATTATTATGTTCACAGCTCATTTTCAAAGTAATTGGCTCTTTAGATAAGTTATTAGCAATATTTATAAAAAAGTTATTAAACATATTGGAAGCTACAATTGGATCTTTTTTGACATTTAATTCAATTTCGTTATATTTTAATTTGATTATTTCATCTTTTGATCTACATTTGTCACCAATTACTTCGTTTATTAGTTTCCATGTTAAATTCGGGTTAGAACTTACATTTTTAAATTTTTGTTCATAAAATTTTATCTTTGCTAACCTAACGGAATTCGTAAAGTTATTTTTATATTTTTTGTAGTGTAAAGCTAAACATTGATTGTTAGGATGTTTTTTACATTTAATTGATAGATATTTTTTACGTCGGGCTGAGATTAATAATTCGTTAGTCATCCACTCTTTTAAACGTTTATTTTTGGCGCTAATTAATCTACAGGTTGTAGATGTATCAATTGCAGATTTAATTTTAGAATCGAAAACGGAATAGCATTTATTAACATCACTAATTTCATTATATACTTCAGTCCATTTTTCATTAGCTAATATAGATAACAGAAGATTGTAATTAATTGTACTAAACATTTTATTTTTTTGAACAAATTCAGTATTGATAGGAATTGAGGTACATATAGTACAGTGATCAGTGATATCAGTTAAAATGACACCGGCATTAATTTTAGTCATTAGGTAATCGTTCCCATTAATGAATATATGGTCTAAACACGCATGATTAAAACCAATAGGTAATCTTGTGTAAACATTAATAAAAGAGACATATTGATTTTCCGAAAGCAAATTTAAATAACCGTTATTATTTTCTTTTATACCAATTATGTTAATATTCATATCACCAGTGAGAACTGTTATCGCATTATTTATTTTGGAATCATCAATTACTTTCAATAAAGCATTCAAAAAGTTATTACTATCCGAAATGGGTGACCTATACATACATACTAAATTTATAGGCACTTTTATATTTGATATATAAAGTTTTAAAATATTAACATCTACAAAATCATACTCAAAAAATTCAACAATTAACGTGCTTTTAGCAAAAACTATAACACCGTCATTTTGGTTTCTTTTTATGGAGGAACAATACATACTATAGCCATCTATTAGATAAGCACACGATAAAAGATTATGCCACGTTTCGGTTAGAACAATTACATCAATGTCCCTATATTTAGCATCATTTTCCAAAAACAATAGAAGCTCATCAAAGTTAGCATTTATACTCCTAATGTTACAACATATTATATTAAGATAATTACAAGACGCATTATTATTTATATGTACAAATTCAGAGAAAGATTCATAATAGTTTGTTCTGTAATTTAAATAATCTTCACAGACGTTTTCCATAAGGGAAAATAAAATAATAAATACGTTACAAAATAGAGACAGAAACTAAAAATTAAAAATTATTTTAACTTATTTAGAGATAACTCACTATCAATCACTATCGCTTTTGATAGTTCGTTTTTTTTTAGGAACAATTTATTGTCTTTGAACCAGACAAATTTGTAACTAAAATCACGGGCAAATGATTTTGTTATAAAAAATAGATTTCTGTTGAATGGCGTTAAATTATCGTTGATATAAATAGCTTCATTCTTCCAGGTAACATCGACACTATTACCTGTTGGTTTGATTTTCCTAGCGTTTTCAATCAGCTCTTTCTTGTCTCGTTTTGAAGATAGTTCAGCTACAATTTTCTTAGATTTGGTGTTGAATTTCTATTGAACACGATACGCATTGATGACATCAATTTCCACCTTTAATGATTTTGCAATTTTTTCAACTGTATTTTTACAAACTTCATTAGTTACTTCTGGTACGTTCACAATTTCAACGAAATTGTCAAGCGATTTTTGTTCAAGGATATTCATTTTTTTCTGAAGTATACTAAGATCATTTCCCAAGTTATAATTTTGTTCTTTTAGAATTCTGTTTTCCTCCCAGTATGAATAATAATAGGTACCTGAGTAAATATTTATTTGGACTCGTGTTGCAGATTTACGTAGTAGACAGTGCAGACAGAAAACGTGTGGATGAAACAGGATTTGAATTGAACGAACTGCTCAACGACGACAAATTATTAGGTGTACCAGTGTTGGTATATGCCAACAAACAAGATTTGGCACTGGCAGCGAAAGCTTCGGAAATAGCACAAGAACTGAACTTGCATCTCATTCGTGATCGGCCGTGGCAAATACAGGCGTGTTCAGGTATACGCGGAGAAGGCATCAAAGTAAGTCATTGTGATGTATAGTATATTATGGTTTTATTTCGGTCAAAATAAAGATACGAAAAAGAAACGAATATAAAAAAAAAATTTACTACAAGTAAAGATCAAATATTTCAATTTCTATCTCTGTGCTCGCATAGGCTATATAACATGTAATTGAAATACTACAATTAATATTCTTAATTGTGCAATAATAACTGAAAAATAAGATAAATATGAGAGAGTCAATATATAAATATTAAAATTGGGTGTTAAAGTTAAGAACCTGTATGATTCTCTACATTTATAAGTGATGAAGAACAATATCACTATATCAGTTGCAAATATTAAAATTACACTATAACCTTTCTCTGTTTATTCGAAAGGATCTCGAAGTCAAATATTCAAGAATTAAATCAAATGCAATATATACAGTACAATACAATTTTATGTTAGTTACGTATAATGTGATATAATATGTAATGACTAAATATTATATTTCAAATGTCTTACCTGACTCTCAACTATGCAGTATAGAAGTATTAGGTGACACAAAGTAATTACTCAAACTACGTGAATCTAAATAACAAAACACACTGTTACGCTGCTCATTAAAATGAGTTCAGTTGTCGCTCACAGGATTCGGTATTGGGAGGTCGTAACTGAGACGACTGGTGCTCATGTACTGGCTAAATAGACGATACGGTTGTGATGCTGACCAGAGACTAGAGAGTGGCACGCTGTTTTATCAAAAGGTTTTTGCGTTTCCGGGAACTACCTACATTTCTCTTCGGCTGCAGCAAAGACCTTTTCAACAATTCCATTACTCTGGCGGCACAAAAGAAAACCACACGCCCTCCGTGGCTACGTTTTACCGTTGCAAATATCTGTTGCTTCCTTAATCCGTGATCGAATTATACAGATCGTCCCGTTTTGTTAGTGACAATGGTTTTATTGATGTCCGATTTCCACGAGGGTCTGGCCGTTATTTATTAGTCCGTTACATTTTAGTTTATTTTTTTATTAAGTACTAGCTGGCCCCGTGCAAATTTGTTGCCCCTTAAAAATGCCAATTCTATAATATGAGACACGATGGTGATAATGCGAGCAGTTTATTATGCCTACCTGCTGTGGATTTCGGACCCCGCTTGATGAGTACTTTACATAAATAATATGTTTTATTTTTATTTTGATTACGGACACGCCGATGAGGTGCAACTCGACCACCTTGGTGGGTAATGTGCGGAAATTCAATTGTATGCATGCTTATAGCTTATACCTGATCTGACCGATAGGATACCAAATGCTGAAACCGGCAGTTAATTCCAATAATATAGTAAATATTAAATTAATGGTTAGGACGTTTGTTCAATTTTAGTCCAACTATCTACAATATAAAAACTTTTTATATAATAATATATTATGTTACAATAATATTTTAATAGCGTTGTAAATATGTGTTCTCTAGAGACAAAGTCCTGTTTTTATCTGTGCATTTATATAAAATAATTTGATTTTCAATAGAATATTTCGTCCAATTTTTTTGTCTGTATATGGCGGAAAAACATCTTTTGGGGGAAGTGGCTAATTTAAAGTTTTGGGAGACTAAGCCTCTTTAATCCATCCTCCCTGATTCACATCTACGATTATAGATTATAATGTAATACCTAACGTATAACAATATATTACCTACAATATAATCTGTTTCACTATTATTTTGATAACGATTATTATTTTTTAATTGTTTTTAGGAAGGATTGGAATGGATCAGTCAAAATGTAAAAAAGAAGTAATGATGTTAATTTAATGAATATTTTTTTCACACTAATTACTATAGTTTGTTTCATAGGTATATGTAAGAATTACTAATTAGTGTAATATTTTATTATCATAATATTTTTTTAAACATGTAAAATATATAAAAATAAATAAATAATATATTATATATTTAAAATACGTTTTTGCTTATATCTATCCCTGCTATATTCTATACAGTATAATATTATGTTAGTTTAAGTGTATAATAAACTATTACTATGTGTACTATACTACCTACAACTCTTATAGCTGAATATTTTACTGATGAAAGACTAATGTTTTATGATTAAAATTAAATAATTATTTGACTTCTCTGAAGTCAATAAATCTTGGTAAAACATCAAAACAATAATAAATAATAATTATTACTAGAATTTGATTTATTTTAACATTTCACAAAGACATTGCATCGGTGTAGGTAGGTACCTATTATATGCATTTCCTAAAATAACTTATACGTAGGTAAATACGTGCATTTGTATTGCCTTTTATGTCAGCGTGTTCATTTTTAAAATACATTCAAAATTATAAAGAAATATTTGACTGCGTATATTAGATTGATTTGTAAATCGCTTATGAACAATTAGTATTCATTTAATAGTTTGTGATAAAAATAGTTTGGATCGTCATTGACAAGTGCATCACTATAGAATCGAAAAAAAATTGATTTATTGAGTACATACCTATTATTATTTATCTCGTTGCGTTGTATAATAACATCAAAAACAACGGTACACAAATAATTTAATCATATATTATAGAAAACGAATTACAATATCAATTGAATATTCTATGGAGCTATTAATTGGTGAACCAATATACACTTTATCGATAATAAAATATTGTGTTAGCTTTTTTGCCATTAGGACGGTGTATTATCAACAAACGGTACTTGGAACTAGTCCGAAAGACATAATTATTTTATGAAACTCTGTTATAAAATGTATCATTTGAGTTCCATCTGCACTTCCATAAGGTTCCCTATTAAAATATTTCGGGATGGTAAAATACCTATATAAAGTGAATTGCAGTTTTGTTCTGCAAAAACATTAGCTACCTAATAGAAAATTATATGCTAAAAATAATTTAGTAAATGTAAACATAATACATATATATATAAAAAAAAGATTATAAAACAAAATTAAGGTAGTATATCAATGGTGGCTTAAACTAGGTTTAAGTACCCGAGTACCTAGTGTACACCCCGTTTAGAGTTAAAATACATATTATATGAATTATAAAATGTTCAAAAACCGAAATTGATGAAACAGCCTTTGAAATTATGCATATTATGTATATCCGCAATCATTGATAGTTTTTTTGTTTTTGTTTATTTTAACACTTTTAGAGCTCGTTGTGGAAATATTCAGTCGTTGCTTTCAAATCTTCTTCGTGGAATTCTTGACAATTGGCCGAATATTTAGTCTAAACAACACATACAAATTAATCTTGGTGATGAAAACAAAAATCGTAATTTCACCGGTAAAATAATAACTTACGGAACAGTTGTGGTCTTCGGTTGCAGCGTTGTAAAGTTTCCAGAATGGTGTTCCCGTTTTTCCGGACAGGAACCACGAAGCGATTAAACTATTGAACAAAATAAATAATAATCGTAAATGAGCAATAATTTCAAAGCTATCAATTAATCTATATTAATTTTATTAAGTATCCTAGACACCGAATGCAGATAATTTTAAGTATTCTAAATAACGTTTTATTAGTTGTAGGTACTATCTGTTTCAAATGCAGTCTGAGATTATACACGTGTAACGTATAAATTAATTGTAACGTATTATCTTTAAATCAACAAGTACAACAGCCATAATTAGTTTTATAATTTAATTGCGAATTATATTTCTACCATATTTGACATGGGTCAACACTGCACATACATCGAATCAAACATCATACATTTATAACGTATTATTATTCTATTTATTTGCTCTATAACCCAAATGGGTATTAAATAATACCTACACTGTAGTAGATTGTCCATTGATTATAAACACTGTATTTATATTTTATAATCAATAATATAGGTATGTAAGTATTAGGTATTAGATATATAATAAAATATTTAGATTTTAAATTCGATAGATATATATTGGTAACTTTTTGATTATTCCTTGCATATTTTTAAGCTATAATGCGGGTATAGAAAGTACTTTTAAATTTTAATATTATTCATTAAACATATTATAATTAAGTGTTGTAATAGCTCGATGATAATGGATAATGGATGATCATTTATGGTCCATTTTGTGCTTTAACTATGTGTTTAAAATATAAGTTTCATTAGATAACACATACCTGGACAGTTTTGTGACACCTGGTTTGAGTCCAGTTTTGCTATCTGGATACTGGCCTTTGCGATTGATGCTGCATACTAAGTAACGATCACATTCTGGTTTCTTACCCACGAACCTGTACACCCTCCACACCCTGAGTATCGGGTCAATTAGCTCGTGATTCAACAGCTCCGATAGCTTCTCTTCGATTTCCTTGGAAGTTAAATGCTGCAAGCTCAATCCTTTGCTTTGGCCCAACCTAAACACATCCTACACGAACAAGCGAACATACACATATTTAGATACGTATTGTGACGTCTCATGACATTTTTTTCTAATAGTAACTCCTAAAACGTGTTGTACATACTTGTAAATATGCTATCGCTGGTTTGATGTACGTGGCGGAGTTGACTTTGAGTCCAAACTGTCGTTTAAACACCGCGTCGGCCAGGAAGCTCAGCGATTCTGCTGGTCGTGCTGAGTCGAACTGGGCAGCTTTAGAATAACCTTGAGACTTTAAGAATCCATTCATGATGAATTGAGTCGTCGACAAATATCTGTAAAACATGAAGTATAGTTATATGTAGGTACTTTAACAAGTAACCTGAAGCACCTAATGAAATTTTAAACAAAAACCGTGTTTTATTCTTATACTATATACGTTTAACATTTTCGGATTCTCTGATTTTACATTGTATAATGTATTATACGTAGCTAAGTGGGTATAAGTAGGTAGGCACTATAAAATATTATCATCATATCACAGTATGGATCTGGACTGACGCCATAAATAAAAGGTAGGTATAGTACCTACCTGTGTCTGGAGACATTATCACCGGCGCACATAACAATATCGGTGTTGGGAGTGAATCCAAGATGCTAATCTTATTTTACTTACACACACATAGGTATTGGGTACCTACGCATATTGTCTAATCAACAAAAAAAATCGAGAAAAATATGTACTGCAACCGAGTAGTATAATGTATTATACATAAATAGAGCATATTGTTGGTAAATATATAATCGATCACCTAAAAATATATCTAACTCCCTTAATTTCAGTTTCATGAACCAATGTAATTATAGTGCGTGTAACGTCTATGTAAAAGTATGCTTTCGTCAAGTGTAAAAAAAAAATTGGCCCAGAAAAAAGCCACACTCTATTGCGGGCGACGATAACATTTCCTCTGCAGTGTCGTCGCACTTGCCAGTAAACTCAGCTAACTGTTATTACGTCGGAAAACGCAATTAATTTTCGAATCCTTAAAAATAATGATGTAATAATATATATTACAGCTATGACTTCACCTTGAAAAAAAAAATAGGGACATTGACATATAGTGTCTACATGGGTGTATTTTACAATAAATTCCACAGCGTTTTATTATTATTTTAAAACTACGTATTATAACTCGATACTATATAATGTAATATAGGTCCAATGAAACGAGGAGGTGCAGCTCGTATGTTTATAAAAAAAATAAATAACCAGTTAGTTATTATGGTTATGTATATAACCATACAGCTAAAAAAATACTAAATATAAACTATCTAAGAATAACATACTTTGCAATGATTCAATCTTTAATACAATACGGTATAGTCGCTTGGGGAGGTTGCAACACTACATTAATACATAAATTATCAATAGCATATAATAGTATACAGAGGCATGTTTAGATGTACCGAAGCGAGTGGAGGTGTTGTTAATATATATATATATTATATATTTCATATTATAAAGGTATGAGATAATTTATGTTATTAAATTGTTTGGCCGCGACTAGAACATTACATTATTTTTGGTCGCCATAAGTGTTCAATGAACTGTAATGGGAGTATATAATAATTGTATATATTTTATATTCACGCACGTAGGCACTGCAGAAATCCTGCACGCCTATTCATAATTAAAATGGTGTGCAATAAATAGAGTACATTAACTTAATAGTTGTCTGACTTAAATGTTTAGTAATTCAAAAAACCGTATACTTCAATAAAGCGAGTAGCAGTACTTAAGAGTTTTATTCCATGGCATCACTGTATTGTCAATGTTACGGTAAAATAAAATGTATTACTGAGAGGGTGGTTGTCAGTGATCTGAGTACGATTTTAATGACAATTATTATTTATTCGCATGATTACATGAATAAAAAGGGCTGTATGCTGGTATCTCAATAATGCAGTTTTTAAAATAATTTATATTACATATTTGCGATTAAACCTAAAGTTTAACTGTTCATTATTGCGACAAGTAAAGTATAAAAAGATCAAGTACTTATTTACAAAAATATCAATGTACAGAATAGTACAGTATATTATATTTAAAGCATTACTATAAACTTGACATAATATATTGTTTTTCTATTTATATTTCATGTAATTTAAGGATGAAAATTTATATCATTGTAGGTACTATTATTTTTAAAAGCGTTTCACGTATGACCTTGACCCAAGAATACTAACTATTTTGCGTTGGTTAAGATCAGAACAACTGTTTATTTTACACGGATAACTGTAAACTTCCTACGCGCGGTTAGCACACGTACCTATACCGCATATTTGGAATAATATTATAGTAAGTAAAATACAGCTAATAAAAGCTATCAATGTTAAGGTCGTATACTAAGTAATACTAAGCATACTATTAATTTTTAGTGTTAAATATTTTATTTTAGGAAATGTGAATAAAAGCTTCACTAGGTAAGTTTATTTAGTAGTTGATTTTTATAAGATTAATTAATTAATATTTTAATGCATATTTCATATTGATATTCGATAATTATGTGGTTTGTGAATTTAGATATTATAGTAAAGTAATAACCGACGAATAACCTACATTACATAAAACGATGTACCTACGATGTATTGAATAGGTGTAAAATAGAACTAGTAACGCCGAAGTATATAATTTTAGAAGGATGTAAGGTACATTACCATCCGACGTTACTACATAATTTCTTAGAATAGTCTGATACATCTAATAGATGAATAATATAAACTGTGAATATTTCCAGGATAATATATGTACAGGTAATTCCGTTTTCATAATCAAATTTTACGCTATACTAATATACAAAATACATAGTATACCTATTATACGTATTGGTACCTCGTACCTGCCACGCGTTATCGAGTAAGACGATTTTTTTTGTTGTATTAGGAATATGTACCGCTGTAGTCATATATTATTATAGAGGTAACAGTGGGCAACGAACTCTACGAGCAAAACCAGTTCCGTTCGTTTGAAACAAGGCGTGTTTGTCGAGTTACGATGATATTATTGTATACCCACGCTACGATTATATTACATGTTATATCTATATTTAAACGCATGTGCACAATGTATATTATACAGGCAGTCGGCTGCGTGTACCGGGTATGCGATTATTACCTGGCCTGTGTGTTCGGATCTGATACGTGTTTCATCCATTCGGCGACGAAGCTGGTCAGACTCCTGACCCACCGCCGTCTGAACGTGGAGTTTTCCATGGACTCAAATATCTTGTCTACCTGGAAATGGCCGTCCTTGTCGATGAATAGCTTCAGGATGCTGCCCAGGCCGCTGTTCTTCCACAGGGTCGTGCCCAGCTCACTG